TTTCACAGACATTCACACCCTCCTCACTGACGCTCAGTAGCAGTGCTATATATAATCTACAAGATGCACTGCAGAAATCATCAGGCTCTTTAGACATCACTTCCCAAACCCATGACTACTACTGTCTAGAAGGACAAGACCAGTAGTTACATGGGAACACCTCCACCTGGAAGTGTCCCTCCAGGCAACTCATCACTCTAACGTAGAAATATATCACTGTTCCTTCATTGTTACTGAGTTAAAATCCTGGAACTTCCTCCTTCACAGCATTGCAGGTGTCGGCACACCAAATGCACTGCAGCAGTTCAAGACAATAGCTCACATCACCATTGCAAGAGAGTCCAGAGATGGGCAATAAATGCTGGTCCAGCCAGGGACACCCAAATCCCCTGAATATTTTAAAAATTATAGCCGTGAGGTTGGTTTAGGGTCATTTTCTTTAGAACAGAGAAGGCCAAGGGGTGACTTAATCGAGGTGTAGAAAATAGTGAGGCTTGGATAAAGTGATGTGGAGGTGCTGGTGTTGGACTTCACCTGATGAAGGAGCAGTGCTTCGAAAGCTTGTGATTTCAAATAAACCTGTTGGACTATAACCTGGCATTGTGTGACTTTTGATTTTGAATGAAGTGGGCATGAAAGACCGGTCTCCTGTAGCAGCGATCAATTGCCAATAATGCACTAATTTAAGGTGATTGAAAGCCTTGTAGTGTAAGGGAAAGGAAATTATGTTAAAATGTTACCAGTGGATCTACCAATGCTCATTGAAACCTAGACCCCGAATCTCTGTTATAGGTATTTGTTATATTCATGTTGCTGATCTGTCACTCTTCTTTTCTTCAACTGTTTCTCCTTTTATATTCTCTTCTTCTCCTTAATATTCTTTCATTGATGTGGAGGTGCCAGTGTTGGCGTGGGGTGGACAAAGTCAAAAGTCACACGACACCAGGTTATAATGGGAAGCTAGTTTATTTAGCTGGGTCAGATAGGACAGGCTGAATGGCTTCTTTCTGTGCTGTAACTTTTCTGTGGTTCTATATCAACTTTGAAAGGCTGGGCTTGCATGTGTGGTGAGTGTGCCCCCTGCATTGGCAGCAAACACAGCCAAAAATTAAAACAATTGGCAAAAAAAAAGAAAATAAAATACTAAAAGAAAAACTCTGAGAATTTGAGAGATTGCTGGTGTTGGCCCATCTAATTTATATGAAGAAAGCAGGCAGAAGTAATACTGCAGTTTCCTCTCTGATTGTCACCTCCTGCATGCAGCCTAGAAATCCAAAACCAGTGGCAACAAGCAGAGAAGCCCCAGGCCCCGTATTTCCAACAGCCTATGTACATCCCCTTCATAGGCCTCTTGTGTAAGAAGACAGGTCTAACAACCATTTGAGGACAACCAACCTTTTTAGTGAGGTCTAAGTCTCCTAACAAAGACAGAAGTTGCCAGAAAAGCTCAGCAGGTCTGCTAGCATCTGTGAAGAGAAAATCAGAGTTAACGTTTCGGGTCCGGTGACCCTTCCTAAGAACGTTTCTCTTCACAGATGCTGCTGGACCCCTGCTGAGCATTTCCAGCAACTTCTGTCTTTGTTCCGGATTTACTGCATCCACAGTTCTTTCAGTTTTTTTTCCTAAGTCTCCTACCTATTCAGGGGTTCATTCCTAATTACCTTCAAGTTACAAAAATCTGAATGTCAATATATCTCGCCTTGCTCAACATACTGACCTCCAATTCAAAATCAGTTTCACCACTCCACAACATAACTTATATGGATCTGGCAGAGGTACAAGCTTCTTACAATGATAGCCAAAGAATCCTAAAAATGGGAGAATGCCAACACATCCATTGTAACGGATTTTGTGGAATCCTCGCCAGATTTAGTTTACCAGCAGATATTTCAGACAACAAGCTGGAAATCCTAGCTCTACATTGCTGGAGTCAACGATGACATAAATCCCAATTCATCTTCTATTTAGATCTGACATTTACTGATCAGTTGGGGGGCAGAAGCTTGGAGGCAGATTAACCAAATGCATGCCAATGACACTGTGCATTGGGAGAAATTCTTGGATTTGTCTGGGAATTTTCATCCTTAAAGCCATTGAAAGACTTCAGTGCAGTGGACAATAGCCAGTTCCAAATTTTGAGGCTTTTTGAAAGCCCTACTTATACTAGAATCAGGATCCTGAAGGGATATAGTGGAATGCACCCTGATACTGCCCACTGAAATGATCTCAACTCCAGCATTTAAGACTCCTTGGGCACAGGCCAGCAGAGGTGCCTCTTCATTGTAAAAGGAGTGAGAAATTTCCAAATAAGATGTAGATCAGCTGTAGGTCACAAATAACTCAATTATACATTTGAAGTGTGACTGCTGGAAATATTTCAGCATATGAAAACAGACAATGCAACACTGCCTATAATGTGTTTCTTTCTCCTGTAAGCTTTTAGACTAATGAATCACCCATTTTGTTCAACTCGCTATGTCTTCTGCTTCTTAATTACTTGTGTCACAAAGAAATCTACTACTTAAGTTGTTGAATTCCCTGCCCAGACAACTGCTTTTGCTGTCTCCTTTAAGGGACTCCCTTAAAAGCTATTTCTATAAATCAAACTTTTGGTTACCTGTCATAATATTTACTTATGTATCTCGGTGTTGGCTTTGCTTTATAAAGCTAAGGTGAAATTATTTGCAACATTTATAATACTGAATTGCTTTATACGTGCAAGTTGTTATTGCTGTTGCTAACTGTTGAAATGATCAATCTGATGGTTTCTTTCTAGCAAATGGGAATAAGGCAGCAGCACAACATAAACTGCAACACGGCACTGGATAACCTATTCCTGCTGATGTTCAGTCTGCTACGCTTTTGGACAGTGTTAGCAAATTAGCAAAGAAGCGCTTTAAGCCAGAAATATAAGGGATTCCATTTACTACATATGAATCGGCTTGGTGTGATGCCAATCCAAGTGCTTGTGTAGCACCAGCTGAACATAACATTATCTTTAAAGTGATTGCTTTCTTCATAATTTGTTGACATCAACTGTGCCACTGGCAGAGGGAGTGGATATCTAAGGTAGGGGCTGGGTAGCCTCATGTAGGTTGCTATGTCCAAGATGGCATTGAGTTTCTTGAGTTTTGTTGGTGCTGCAGGTTTCAACTAAGTAGAAAACTGCAGATTAAAGAAATCTGGAGTAACAGAAAATGGTGGCAATACTCACATACAGACAGCACCTCTGAGAAGAAACAGTTTAGAATAAAGCAAAGAACTGCAGATGCTGGAAATCTGAAACAAAACAAAAATTGGAGAAACTCAGCAGGTCTGGCAGCATCTGCAGAGAGAAAGGAGAGTTAATATTTCAAGTCCAGTGACCCATATTGTGCTGAATTTTTCCAGCAATTTTTGTTTTGATTTCCAGTTGCCTGAAATGTTATCTGCTTCTCCATCCACAGAGACTGCCTGACCTGATGTATATTTGCAGCATTATGTTTTGAATTCAACATTCTTATTCTGCTCAGCTCTGCAGAGGAAACAGTGAATACACCACCAAGTGCTATAAGCCTGGCCCTACCGGAAACATGCAAGCGGTTTGCCTCTCGCTGGAGTCACAGTCCAGGTATATTGGGTTGCTAAACTCATTGTCACCTACAGTGAATGTTGCCTCCATGTGTGAGTGCTACTATTAGTCACGATTCTGCAATGTAGACTTTCACAAGCTGCATGTTAAATGATTTATCTAAATCTACTTTGGCAAATATTAAACCTTTGCCTTCTGCTATGGCAGTGGCAGTCTGGAGCATGATTAAGGATCAGCTACAGCTTTAACGTACTGGCATTGCAGCTCCTCGTAAAACTGCTGGGATTTTTAAAAATTCTCTTGTGGGATCCAGACATCACTGGCTGGCCAGCGTTTATTGCCCATCCTCAGTTGCCTTTGAGAAGGTGGTGGTTTGCAGCCTTCTTGAACAGCTACTGTCTTTGTGTTGTAGGTTGATGCACAATGCCGTTAGGGAGGGAATTCCCAGATTCTGGCCCAGCGACAGTGAAGGAATGGTGATATATTTCCAAGTCAGGTTGGCTTGGAAGGGAACTGGCAGGTGGTGGTGTTCCCAGAGAACAGAATAGCAATTTATTGTCACATGCATTTTTACAAATAAAAGTGAAATGTTTTAGAAGTCACCATACCATGGCACCTGTATTTGATGACAGAAGTCACATATAAGAAAAAAAAATTAAGACAGAGTTCATCTTAGATCAATTTCAGTTTGGGGAAAGTGGATTAAAATGATGAACAGTGGAATACCCAGAAGCTGCTACCAAAGAAGACCTCCACATCAACAAGACCTCCATGCCAGGATAGGAGCGCCAAACCTGGAGACCGCCATGCCAAGCTGAGTCCACCGCTCCAGGATGAGGCCGCAACAACGGGAGACCGCCATGCCAGGCTCAGACTGCCACACGAGGCTGGAAACTTCGCCAGGCCAGGCCAGGAGAAGGCTCCACCCACTGAAGAAGTTAAGAAAGGTAAGACAGTACGTGGAAACATTAAGAAAAAGCAGAGAAAGTAAAAAGTGGACGGAGTAGACAAGCTCCTGGGCTGAGGAGCCCGCAAGCTGGGCTGCTACACCGCTGCCGTCTTGCTTCAACCTCTACTGCCCTTGTCCCTCTAGATGGAGGTGGTTTTGCGTTTGGCAGGTGCTGTCTGAGCATCTTGTAGATAGCATGCACTGCTGGATGCCCTGCAGAAATTAACTGGAGCCAGTCAGAGCTGCTTTCGAAGGTCGCCGACATTTCAAACAACACAATTCCCACCTCGGTCACATCAAGTCAGGATTACGGAACCACCCGGGATGTAACAAACTCAGCACCAACTCCCCTCAATCCTCCACTTTCCAGCCAATGGCCTCGCGTCACTTCCGGCTCAGGGGAAGAGGCGGGGTAGCAGTCTCCAGGAAGTGAGGTAGTAGAAGGGGCGATGTCTGTTGCTATGGTAACTTGTCGCCCAGCTGCCGGACAAGTTGGAGCGACCCTCAGACAAATAGTGAAATGTCTTGCCAGCGGCAGCATTCGGAATACCGATCCCCTGGTAACCAGAAGCGTTTCTGGAAATGTTTATCTGAATTGCTGGGAGAAGTTTTAACCAGTTTGTTTGTACTATCTGGATACAATAATGTGTAGCCATTGATGGTTTATATTAATCGGACCAGCGCTTGCATCGGACGAGATTACTGCACCAGCTGTGAAATATTATAGTGTAAAATGGCTTTTTTTCAAATTGGAAAGTTGATTTGTCGCTTCCTTTCCAGAAAAATTGAGAAGCCCCAGTAGAAAATCTTCGAAGAGGGTCAGTCCGGCACCTGATTTCAGGTACAAGATCAGATCAAGTGGGGACAAATATTAATAATGCTGAAAAATTTCGAGTCAGTTTTAAAATTCCACTTTCCTGAATGCACCAACACTTGTCTTCCTGGCTGACATCTCTCCATAAACTTAATAGAGTTCATCGGTGCTATATCTAACTAACAAAAACCAAAGTTGCTGGAAAAGCTCAGCAGGTCTGGCAGCATCTGTGAAGGAGAAAACAGAAGGGTCACCGGACCCGAAACGTTAACTCTGTTTTCTCCTTCACAGATGCTGCCAGACCTGCTGAGCTTTTCCAGCAACTTTGGTTTCTGTTCCTGATTTACAGCATCCGCAGTTCTTTTGGTTTTCTAATCTTGTATCCCGGGCTACTCTAAACTGGCCAGATAGTGAAAACAACCTGTATAAGATTTGTGTAATTTCACCTTGATGTCTTTATACCAGGCAGCATCCTAATTAATTTGTCATACAATCTTCAAAACTCCAATATTGTTTAAATATTGTAGACTTCAATATGGTATGGTAATCTTACCATAAGGCTGTATATAGGTTTGTGATTTGTTACCCATTGGCTTTCATGATCAATAACTGATGACTAAAATAATTTTTTTTTCATTTATAACATGCTTTTCACAATCACCAAACATCCCAACGTACTGTATAACCAATAAACTGCTATTTGAACTGTTGTCACTGTCGTAATGTGAAATGTAACATCACAACAGAAACTTATTTATTTCCAAAACTCAAGAATTCTATTTTTGAAGTTATTACTGAATAGTAATTTGTATTTACAATGAAATGTCCACTTGAGGCTAGTAGATATATATTTTTCCTTCTGCCTAGACTTTTATTCAGGTGAAGTGTGTTCAAGTGACAGTTGTATACGTTTTTTTTCTGTCCACTTCAAAGCATTTCCATTGTTATTACATTTCTCATGAGATCTGTTCATCGTGGAAAATAGGTGGTGGAGACATGAGTGGGCAGGAGGAGAAAAGGTATGGGATTATGGAGGAGCATGAAGGAACATGTGAGGCGAATGAGCAGTGACAATTTGAAGGTCTCACATTCATTATACAACTGTGTGATGTTCCAGTAAATGGAGGCAGGCATTTTAGCTTGCCATGCCATATGCCCAACTCCATTGCCATCACAGAAATGTGATGAATCCTTGGAAGCAGCTTGCCCATCATGACAAACAAAAATGGTGGGTTGAAGGATATATCTTTTAAAGGATATATTTTGGCAAGAAAATCCCAAACTAACACTGTTTCCCTTCACAAATGCTTTCTGACCTCAATATTTCCAGAATTTTCTGCTCTTATTTCAGATTTCCAGTATCTGCATTTTGGTCAAGTACAGAGAGGCAAGACTATGTAGTGATTTAAAAATAACGTATACCTTAAACAAGAGCCAGGTCAGTGATATATGAG